TCGAGAGGGAAAAGGGGTTAGAAAAAATTGGGAGTGAAAAATTTCTCTCTCTGTAATTAGGGGAAATTCTTTGTACTTTCAGTATATGAATTCATTATCACTATTGGTAAAAATCCCTTTTAATTAATGCGGGCCCTCAACTTCGTAGAATAATAAATCACACAATCAACACGTCAATAAATTATCCTGATAGAGGAGTTCATTATTACTACTATTGAGATTCATTTGCCATTATGCGAACACTTACATTAAAATAATATGTAGGTCCCTTAACCACTGCATGAAAAAACAGATAACCAATACACCACTAACTTATTCAGTGGATAATTCATTATTGTTATTGGCTGACAGATCCCATTATTTCCATATCTCTTGAGACAATGCCTTGTATATCTATATGAAATGATTCCCGATTATGTTTAGCTTTTCTAAAATCACATAGTGTAGACCACGCCGTTGGGGAGCTAATACTATGATTTTAGATTGAGTGTATAATGTTATTAATACTCTAATAAAAAATAAAACATTAAATATCTTGTTATTATAATTTAGACTCTTTAAATCATGCGTAGGGCCTTATTTTTAAAGATTTAATTATAATAAATATTTAATATTTTTATTTTCATGAGACAACCATTCTTGTAATATTAAGATTCTTCAAATCATGCGTCGGGCCTTATTTTTGAAGATCTAATTACAATGGTTATAATAACGAAGGCCATGTGATAATGTATAAAAATCCCCGTTCCCACACAATTTTTAATTATTTATAATTAGGAATTTTCATTTATTCATATACATGATATTATGTATGCAAAACGCCTTGATTTTAATCCAATTAAATTTAGAAAATATTTAGACTTTTAAATGATTCACTAATATTTAATTTGAGGCATGCTTTAAAAATAATTTTTCGTTTCCCAATAAGTACCTTCTAATTAATTAGCAATCGAATCCAATTAATTTTCATAATTTAATTAATATAAGTCAAGTCATTTAAATAAATATCATGGATCCAATTCACGAATAATAATTAATTAACAATTATCTATTCCATACATTTCATACATTACATAAATAAATAAATGATAAACAAAAACAAATTAAATGGCCAATAGATTTAGCTTTTAACATGTTAAAAACTAAATAACTACTAAGTGCTATAATTATTGCACCCCATTAAACTCCCACTATCTTTACATAATTGAGAATAACTTTAATTTCCACTTTGGGGTAATATTTCACTTTTTAACTAGTGAAAATAGCACGAAATAATCATAAAAACAAGCCTGGAGGTCCACCGTAAGGTCTTGCGAACATGTAGGAGCCAAGAACCAACCTTGATGCGCACACATGCGCTCTCACGCGCGCCCACACGCCAAACACACCAATGCACTAGCTTACACGCGCCAAGAGACGGTGGCAGCGCATGGCATAAAGAGCGCTGGCATGACCAACGCGTGGTTATCATGTGCCTGGCTATTGGTGCGCATGGTGCCCACCGTATCTGCGTAGCACTGGATTCCTTCCAGCCTTTGATCATGATTCAAGGGCTGCTAGATCCGATTGCACTGAGTTCTACTTCACCGCGCTGCACCGGATTTGCAGCCATCATTCTGACGCCATCCTCGCTGGCGGCGACGCTCCGGCCTCCGGAAAACCGCCAAAAAAATTATAAAAATTCCCAGAAATTAAATTAAGCCCAACAAATTCCAGAAAAATTCCGGAAAAATTTCAAAAAATTCCTGAAGCCTAATTTAACCCTTTTGGACATTCTTGAAGTTTCATAGTATCCTTTGATAAAAATTACATGATTTTAATAAATATTTACAATTTGAATTACATTGGAAAAAATTAAATTACATCATTGATATTTCAAACGGCTAAATCAAAACCTTAATTACATTTATCAAAAAATAAAATTACATTCAATTAACCTATAAGCTTCATCCATGACTCAAACATAAATCATCATGCATTCACAATTATACATATATCATCATGTATCAACATATATCAACATATTAAATCATGGCTCAAACATAAATCATCATTCATTCACAATTATACATATATCATCATGTATCAACATATATCAACATATTAAATCATATATCAACATACATCAATATATATATATATATATATATATATATATATATATATATATATATATATAATTTGGATCAATGAATGATGATTTTGATTAAAAAAAAAAAAACATGATTTCTAGTAATGAATCAAATCACGCTCTGATATCATTGTTGGGAAATGTGCAAGTTTTAAAAACTTTCTTAGGGATTTTCATACATAGATCTTGATCCATCACATAGAGACAAGTTTTATGCAAAAATAAAATATAATGTATCATTCAACAAATAGATTGAATACTTACATCAAGATTTAAGTAAACCTTAGATCTCTCCTCTAAAGTGAATGTTCTCACTTATTATAGATCCCTTTTCTAGATGCCTTCTCCTTGAATCTCCATCTTCTTTGTAATGGTTCTACCTTTAGGAATCACCCATAAGCCTTCATGAATGACCTTGGAAAAACTAGGCTTGTGGGGGCCTCCATTAGATGAGAACACTAACCCTAAAATTCTAGAGAAAGAAGATATTCATTTTTCTTTCAAAAGTCACACTTAAAATATACATGGACCATGTATATATAGGCAACACAAAGATAAGAAAATGAAATAATAAATCCTTCTCAATCTCTAATTACCATATCTTAAATCTAATAGGATTCCAATATCAAGTTGAGTTATGAGTGAGAATCCTTTGGGCTTATTATTTTCTTGGCTACAATGAATTAATAATTGGCCCGATCCATGAACCGAATTCAATTAATTCATAAATTAATTTCTATTCCACTAAAAAAAATTAATTGAACTTCAATTAAATAATAAATAATCTTTAAGTCAACGTTGCATTTTGATCACTCTATGCATAATTAGTCATCGGATAAATAAAGCCATCAATTCGACTACTTAATTAATATATTTATTTTGGTATTTTTGATTATTTCCGACTTGATCACAATAAAACATTTGTTTGACAGAAATAATAATTTAAATAAATAAATATATAATAAATTATTTTGTCTAAAAACACACGAAGGCCTTCGAATTTACTTTGTGATCAACCATAATCAATACAAAATAAATACAAATAGCAATTATGCAAATATTGAAAATATAACTCTCTAACTATTAATTACATAATTGTCCAAAGTGCCGGTCTAAGGATTCTGAAGATTCCACTGAACAAATCAAAGTAATTACTAATTAATAAAAGAGTCTATTCTTCTCTCACGTTTAAGAGTCAAATACCATGACGGTGATAGGGAGCAATTGCATACGATGGCTCTCGCAATATATCTCAACCTAACGCGGATCCAGTTCAAGTCTTAGTTAATAATGAGTCCATCCATAATTACCGATTATGAACAATTTATGATTGCTATTTATAGTCATGTATTGATCGCCATCACATACATATATAAATATTTGTTGTGATCAAATGGACACTGTCAATTCCATAATGAATCGAAACATAATATATTGAATTCACCAATTATATAAATCATAAATATTTTAGATATATCAGGAACATATGTCACTATAATCCAAATAAAAATTTACTATGCTAGGGCACATAAATCGCAACAGAAGATTCAAGAAATAAATAATTTAAGAGCCCAATCAGTCTGCAACCTAAGTTATTTGCGCACCTTTCTTTGAGTTTTCTCCTAACACAACTTCTCGAACAGGGAAATGGTTGCTCTCTACTTCTTCGTTCATTCCCAGACACACCGTAAATTCCTCCTAATTTAGAAGAATGTAAATTGCAGAAGTTGTTTGAGAGAGCCTATGTGTGGGGATCTTATGGAGAACCATCTCTCTAGCTATGGGCCCCACTAGTTCTCTAACCGGTAACAAAGTAGGATTCCCAAACCTCAAAAATTTTTATTCCATACTTATATTCTTATATTATACAGGAAATAAAAGTCCATAATTTCAAACATGGACCTCCTTATATGTATTCATATATCTATATAGGAATCTGGTATTCTAATGGTTAAGACATACCACTACATAACTGTGTTAGACTGTTAGTGTGATATATGTTGGTTTTAAGTGAAGTGTCCATCTCTTCAATCATGACCAAGAACAAAATAAGGTTATGGAGGTACCAGAAAAACTTTCTTATCTTTATGATTCTCTAATGATTACATCTAAGTTTTTTTCTACAACTTTAACCTTAGGGCATGGTTAATGTGACACTTGTATACACATGTATGAGGACAATGTAACACTTGTCTTACCTTTCAAAAAAAAAAAAATGTAACACTTGTATTAAAGGACTCAAACTTTTTAAGGGGACAAGTTTTTAATGCATTGCCCCCTTACAAAATTACAAAACTAACCCAAAAATTTAAACTTTTACTATATTGAATTAAAAATATTATCAGAACTTGTGGACAATTTAAGAAAAAATTTGTATTCGGAAACTTCACAAGAAGTAAGTGGACACTTGACATCCCAAAAAAGAAAGCAAAACACTATTGAGACGGAGGGAGTAATAAAATTCATACTTAAATAAACAGATAGAACAAATAATATTGGCTTTTGAAGGCATACAAGCCTAACACATAGTTATTGTCAGACCATGTTGATCTGATTATTTTAGAGTTCCCTAGCCTGAACCTTTCAAAAGAACTGGCTCAACAGCATTCAAAGACAACATATAGCATGGACATGCCACTCAAAAACCATCCTCAAGTGTAACCTCAAACTAAAATTGAATAAAAATTGGGCTGAGCATGAACCTTCTGTCTTGAGCAGACATAATGCTCTTAACAAAAAATGTAGCAGCAGACATTTTCCTTTTTGTTTTCTTTTAGAGAGAAAAAGATACAAAGCTGTGTCCTTCTATTTTTATCTAGAAAAGTCAGTTCCAGGATCATAGAACTTTCCTATTGCCATTATAGTCAAATTAAATGAAAAGAAGACCGTACCTGTGAATCCTCACTCCCACTGGCAATAAATGATTGCTCAAATGATCAAATCCACCGAAACAAGATCCGATGATGAATCGAGTACGTTTATGACCTTTATACTTGGAAACGCTCTTTAGATCTCCCTCTATGCTCCAAAGATGAATTTCTTGGTTTACAAGATTAACCAGCAAGAATTTGTTGTCCTCCGACAGTGAGAATGAAGTAATCACTTCGTCCTCTTGAATTAGTCTTTCAAATTTTGCTTCCCGGTCAAACAACAGAATTGCAGTTTCTTTATAAATGATCATGATAATCTTCCCATCATGAGTTATGGCCATGTCTGATATTTTATTGACTATCAGCCGCCCTTTCCTGCACTGCAACTCTTTTCCATCCAAATCCCACGAGCAGATGCTCTTGTCTTTCAAACCAGAGACTACTTGCTTACCATCCGGAAACCATCCACATGGTATCAGGCCAACACCAGCTTTCTCAAACACACGGAGACATTCACCAGATATGACATCCCACAGTATGATGACCTCCTCCGGTCCACAAGAGAGGAGATGAGAATCATTGGGGCTCCATGAAATCGTAGACACTAGTTTCTGGTGACCATTTAATGCATGTTTCAATAATACTTCACCATTATCTTTGACCTGAAAAAGTGAGCATCCTCATCATTAGTAACAATAACTTGGAAAAGCAAATCAGGATCAAATGGAATTCCTCAAACTATGGTTTTTGACCAAGAGGGTGGATCGAAGCAATTACAGCAAAAAGAATAAAAAATAATAATAATAAGGAAAAAGACAAGGCATGTGATAATGCAAACAAGTTAGGAAAGTATCACAGAAAATCACTACACAAAACTTCGAGGAAATATAAACATAGGAAAACCATAAAACCAATTAGAGCTAAAGGTAACTCTTCTGTATTTATAATGATTAAGAAAGTCGGAACTAATTTGTTATTTGGTGCGGCGTTGGCGTATGGCCAACCCAATCCAGAGGTTGTTCTGTTAAATAACAACCTGAAGGTCGTGAAACGCAACCAAACCTCAAACTTAATCCTAAAGATCCCCAACTGGTAAGGTTGATCACCTTTAAGCCACTCAAGCTGCAACCCAATCTAATTGGATAACAACTCAAGCGTGACAAACTCAGCAGATTTAAGCATCACCAAGTTGTCATGGATGTAATCAAATTCCAGGTATTGTCAAGTTGGATTAAGCTCACCAATATGAAATTATACAACTTCCAAATCTAGTTGAGCTTCTCAAGTTTTAAACAATGCAATAAACTGCATATCAGACTACACCACTCAAAACTTAGATGTATTTCACTCCATTAAAATTGGAGGAATAACGTGAGAATAAGGAGAGAATTATCATGACAACAGAACTCATGAAAACGTGTGGTTGATGAAGACAGGAAAGAAGATGTCCTCACTCGAATTTCACAAAGAAATTTTCCTCATAATTATTTCACCTGATGAGTACACAATACAAACATGACCACAGCTAGAGTATGAATGAAAACTAAGGTAGAAAACTAACAGGGTTGCTCCTACAATAACCACTAGGGGGAAAAGGAGAATCAGAATGGACCAAAAAGCAAGTACTTTTCTCCTGAAATTATATCAAGTTTTAACACGTCAACTTTGAGAATATGTTGCACCATAGAGAATGAGACATGTCAAATTATTAATGAATATATTATCATTTCATGAAAATAAGGAGAATTTTTGAAAATAATTCAATTAACGAATGGAAGTTAAGAATATGAAAACTCATGCATGAGTAACCATAGTTTTCACTTTGTTAGTCTTTGGGAATCAAGCCAAAATATTTGTGAAGTTAAGCATATTTGTCAAAATACGTTCCATTAAGTCGACCACTATACACATCCTAGTTGATGAGCTTACATATCATCATAATACAGACACATAGTATAGTGAACCCTGTCAAAGGTCCAAATTCTGAAGCACACCCAATAAATAAAAAATAAAATTACCTCCCAAATAACTGCCGATGATGAGGCCAAAAATTTTCCACTGTGAGAGAATTGCAAAATGCAAACTTCATCTTTGTGTGCTTCCAGTATCTGTTACATTTTGATGAAGAAAAGAACTCAAACTCTCACTTTATTAGTACTTAGTAATACAAAAATTCAAATACCTTTGCATTTGATTTAATGTATATAAGACATCATTATATAGATTATAGAAGCAAGCTTAAATTTCATGAGTCGATGTGAAATTAAGATTTCACCATCTTGTTCTCTTGCATATTTAGATGAAATCAATTAACAAAGTAAAATCTAAAACAGAAAATGTGCGCTCTGTTTGAGATAGACCAGGCATCATTGTGTAGACCAAAGGCGCAACCTGGAATATCTCGTCATCATCACTGCCACCATCAAAAGCAAAATCTTAAAGAATTCATCATCACAACACCACCACTGCCACCTTAGTTTACATATATCAGCAGTGGTCATGAATCATGATATCAGCAGATTTTCCGTCCATTTACATATATATGCATCCTTAACTATGTATTCCATAAGGGGCTTAAGAATGTACCAATTTGAAAGGAAGAGAGAAATTTTGGAAATTAGTTCAGTGTCACAGAGGGGAAAACTTGGGACCAATCAAACTGAGTTTTAGTTTAAGGTGACTCTAAGTTTAATGATTAGGAAAAGTATGCCTCTTGTTTAGTTCCACTACTGTTTAAGATATTATTTATTTTTGAGCCAAGGCATTTTAAAATATCATGTTCTATGGGTTAGTATTGTAAGATAAGAATAAATTTAATCAAGAAGAGAAGAGAGAGGATGAGAGGACATTGAGAGTTAAAAGCACTTCCTATACTTTTCTTTTCCTCCAGGCAAGGAACTCAGACCTGTGGCCCAACTAATCTCAAGATATGTGTATGGGCATCAGTACTCTGATCAGCAAGCACCCAAGAAAACCAGGGATGGTGACTAGCACTTGTAGGGTGAGTGAAACTCAGGACTCTTTTGCTTCCTGTCATATTTAATACTTAGCTATTTTTTTGTCTTCAAGTCTCTCTCTTTTTTCCCAGCCAATTTGTAGGCCTCAAAAAACCAAAAAAACATAAACCACCTTCTTAAAAGAACACAATGCAAAGATGAAGGCACCAAAAAAAAAAAAAAAAAACCCTAACTTTACTTGCCTGCCATATTTAAAAGTGGTCACAATTTAACTGTGTACTACAGTCTACTTCGCAAGCATTGGTATACGACAAAATTGGTCACAATTTAACTGTGTGCTCCCGTCAGCTAACTGATTCTAATTTTACAAAAACAACTTAACATAAGGCTACTCCACAATTTTCCTCTACAAAACCATGCTAAACAATGCTGCATTGGTATCCATATTAGTGCATGCTTACATATGGATGACATTCAGAAATGCCAATGAAACACAAATCTTAAGCACAAGAAAATTTCAATCCTGCATGTTTGCAACGAAAAACAGTGACTGCCTGGACAAGTGGCAAATAGAATAAATATATATAGATACTAAAAGGAGCCATTTAAGTACGCAACCATCAAAGAAAAAATGCATATAATAGATGGTTGAGAAGAGGCATTCTATACATTTAATTTATAATGATGTGAAGAAGAGCATAATGGTAATAGGAACAGTAATGGTGGTGATGAGCCCTTATAGATGCTCATCACAATTAGCCCTTAACAAACGACAATTACCGTCTTATAGATGCTCGAGAAAGGTGAACAGTTTATGCTGGCAGACAAATTAATGAAAGAAACTAGCAGAAACTGAATAAGCTACAATGACAAAGCTGAAAACTTCAACCAATAATGCATGCCCAACCTGCAGTGTTTGAGAAGGAATCTGCTTTCTCAAATTTATCAAGAGCCTGTTTAACATTATCTTGACTGGAATGCCCAAGCCCTATGTGCTGGGAAGACAAGATGACACAGGCTGCAAGCTCATGAACTCTTTCCAGATTGACTGAAAGGGGCACAATCTCATCCCTCGGAGTACCTAAAGCATCCATGATTCTTTCCTCTGTCAAAAGCTCCAAGAACTTCTGTTCCAATATCAAGAAAGATGCTGATTTCACAATGGTTTCATCAGACCAATTGTACGTAATGTCACCAAACTTTCGTCCCATTTTCTGCCCCGAACTTGCTGTACAAACAAACTTGCAGCTGGTGAGTGCAGCTGAATCCCTGATTCCTCCTGTAGAAGGGCCCCAGACTGTTCATAACCAAGACAGTACAATCCCCTAGTGATGACTCTAACAAATTCCTGTTTCTTGATCATTCCTTTGGGACCGATCATTACTCTATCTTCTCGGGAGGATAGCAGTCGTGCCATCACTTCTCCCAAAGAGCCAACAATTCCTTCAAATCCTCAGAAAGAAATTTCGGGCGTTTACCCTACATACAAACCGAAAAAAAGGTATAAACAGTGAGTGGAATTACATTTGCCTTCAAAAGCACCCAATAAAACACAAATGAATACGGATTCGGGGTTCTCAAAGCATGCCAGAATTTGTAAACAGCGATAACAGGAAACTAAGGGGGAAAAGAGCACCAAGAATCGGATCAAATTAGCTCAACAACAGTGAGGACAACACAAAATGATGGTTATCTTTATCCATTATCATACAAATTAATTGTCCCCAATGGGTATGTCAATAATGATAATGCATGCTCTAGAACAATGATAAGCAACAGGCTTCTTTACTTGTACACAACTTTCTGTGAAAGAAAAAGCTCCAACAACTACAAAAGAAAAACTATAACACTGCGAAACAATAATTAAATTCTCATATGCTAATGCATATACATATACACGCATAAAATTGTTTGTTCACGGTATAAAATGGAAGAACAGACAAGAAGGGCTAGAACTATAACTGGAATTGAAAACGAGACACCAAGTTCGTCCTTTTGGATTACATGTATAACCCTAAATCAGAATCAAGAAACAACATGAAGGAAGGGAAAAAAAATCAAAGAGAACAAGAATGGTATAAGAACATCAGGAATCTAAATTGAGTATTTATTCAAAGCAGAAAATTAATTACCAAGATTGGGGAGTCGGAGAGTTTCAGAGCTCAAATTTCTCAGTCCAATAGAAGGAAACCCCACCAAAACAAAGAAGAAAGCGTGTTTTGTTAACTGAGAAGAGTGAGAATGCGAACAGAGAAAGTGAATGGCCAATGAGACGAATATGGATATTAATATCTATATATTTGTGTGTGTCTGTACAGATATATATATAGAGAGAGGATTTAGTTATGCTGATAATCCACTTCTGGCAGTTGGCAGTGAGGTGTGACCGTGAGAAAAGGGTCCAGAGAGGTGGTAGCGTAGGAAAAAATTTCAAGAAACAAAAATGCGGTAACCGACTCAGTGTCAAGTCAGATTCTATTGTTTGCTAATTTTTAGCCTGTATGATTTTTTTTTTTTAAATAGAAAATTCCTCTTTTTTTCCCCTATTTGATAAATAACGAAATATCCAGTTTTATGAGTCAAGGGAGCTGGTTTTTATTTTTTTTTATTTTTATTTTTATTTTTATTTATATATATATATATATATATATATATATATATATTCTAATCAACTTTACAACTTCAAAATTAATTATACAGTATTGTTTTGATTTTTCAATTGACATGTTTAAAATAATTAAAATTAATACATATATTAAAAAAGCAATAGATTATATAAAAATTGATTGTGCATTGGAAAAGGTATTAGCCGTGTGCATTTTTATGTATGATTGTTAATTAAACTTGCATTATTTTTTAAGTATGTATATTATTGTGAATGTAGAAATATTGTGAGATTTATAATATTGATGTTTTAATTTAAAAATAATATTTGAGATGGCCAGAAGTAATTTGAGTCTTGCTAATACTAAAATGTATTTTGAAAGTCAATGATAAATTACTTTGAGACATAAAATGTGTTAACTCTTATTTCAAGACGTACAAAATATAATAAAATATCAAAACGCAATTGAATTGGTCTATGTAATTTTAGAGATGACAATGAGACTGCGTTTCCGGTGGAGGGCCTTTCTCATCTTGTTTTCGTCTAACAAAGTATAAAATGTTTTGATAAAAAATTGTTTATCTAGACCTACTCATCAATAACAATAAGAATCAACCTTTTTTTTTTTTATAAAAATAAAAATATTTGAGTATGTTGTGTGTACAACGAGTAACAATCAAATATATTTTTTTATCCAGCACTTGAATCGGTTACATGTACTCGCCATTGTTTAAAATTCTCCATCTCATTTTTACACTCAACATCCCATTTTATAAACATTTCATTTTAAAATATCCATGTATTAGAAATGATAAATTATATGAGTTTATAAGATATTATCAAGTTGGTGTTTAATTTATAAAAAGGAATTTTAATATTTTTAGTATTAACTTTAAAGCAATGCCTCACTAGTTGAGTGGGTTAATACTTTTAGGGAACTTCGGAGTATCTAGCTTTCACTCTATTTAACTTTTAACACTTAAAAATATATATATTTACTCGAACGTAGTTTCTTAAAATTTTAAGAAGTGTTATAAAGTTCAAAACATGGAGTCCAATCCTTCGACAAACTCAGCATTAAGTTCAAAGAAACACATAAATGTTGATGCTCTCAAGAAACCAAAGCTTCTTTATAGTAAGCATGAGTTTTATTTATTTTTTTGGGAAAACAATTTTTTTTTTTTTTTTTGCACACACATGCACTGAACCCTTTTCTTTTAGAGGCGTAAAAAAAAAAAAACCGATTGGAAAGATAAATTGAATTGAACCTGTAGGTTTGGTTCAGTTTTTTCAAAGTTTTGATTTGGTTGCAGTTCTAAAAAATGTAACCATCAATAAACCGGTTCGATTATAAATATATAATTTGAACTTATACAAGCTCAAATAGAACCGTTCAATAAATTATATATAATTTATATATTTTGTATTATATAAATATTATAATAATAAGATTAATCTTTTAATCACTCAAATTATAAAAAATAATAATAAATTATATTATAATAGAATTTTCTATTATAATATATATAGAATTTTATATAAATATTAAATTAAATTATAAAAAATCTCAAAACGGCCGAATTGAATCCTCACATAGTTTAATTCTATTGATTTTACGATTCAGATTCTAGTTTGAGCGAATTGCAAAAAATTCCCTTGACTATCACTTACTTGCAAAAAACTCTCCTTTATGAATATTTTTAACAAAAAATCCCCCTTAACTATATTAAGGGAGTCATTTTAACTAATATCCATCTCTATATAATTTTTTTTAACGAAATTACCCTCTTTGTCTTTTTTTTTTTAACTCTCTAACCTCTCAATCTCTTCCATTCCACCGTCCCTACCACAACCCACCTCCCGACCTCCACCATTACCACCACAATCCACCATCTAATGTGACTTTTTTTGTCCAACAAAACTTGGGACAAGTGTCATAGCTTTCCCTTCTGCAAATTCCTGAATTGTAATGTGGATTTACTAAGGGAAGAAATTGAAATATTTATAGTATGACTCTCTTTGGACTGGACAAAGAACCAAGCAGAGGAAAGTTACTCCGTTTAGTTGGGCAGAGACCATAATCTGAGACTATGAGAACCTTCAATTGGTCCATTTTCTCCATGAATTCAGGCAGGCTGTAATTCCTGGTTTGGAAATTCAATATTAGAATTTTAATTTCAAGTAATTGGATATTTCACCAGCTTGAGGAAAATGTTTCATCTGCAATAAATTTCCGCACATGGTGAATTGGAGGGAAAAGAAAAAAGAAAAGAATAAAGGGTTAACTTGAGGTATATCCAATCTACAAGGTGATCTTCCAAGTTTACAAAAATTCAGTCAGACCCTTTGTCAGATATTGTCGGCTAACAAAAATAAATGAATGAAATGACTAAATTACCTTTTTGTCATTTTCCTGTATACAATGTGTTTTATAACTCCCAAAAAGATTAGCTTTATCTATAAAACCAAACAGTC